TTGGAGCTAAAGAGAAAGGAGGAACAGTTATGTTAGTTTTCAGGGCTGTTTCTTGTTTTGAAAGGGTGTTACGTTAAGAGCTAGGTGTTTGGAGGGTCCGAGCTTGATTAAAAAGTTGTCCTTGCATGGAAGATGAACTTTTGAGGGCCTATTTACTAGAGGTCTGCAAAAATATCAAAATATCAATATATCGTATTTCCTAAAGTGATGATACACAATCGATATCATGAGCTACTGTATCGATATATCACCATATTTTTTTTGGTATATTTTACTCAATTATTTCTTCAGAGGAAGGAAACTCGTTTATGTGACACATTTGACATTTTCACTGTTTATTAAGATTAAAATGTTTGTGTTTCATATTAACTTTGCACAAGACTTTTAGTATCGCAGCCATGATTTAGCAATTTTTAGTTTTTTTGGAACCATATCCAATTGATTTGAAATATATCATATCGAATCAAAAGTGCACTGTATTGAGATATGTATCGTTTTGTGGCCTATGTATCGAGGTATGTATCGTATCGGCAACTTCTTAATGATACCCAGCCCTACTGTTTACATGAGAATGCTTGCAGTTAAAAATGACAAAATATTTTATCGGAAGTCCCTTTCGTTTAGATGGTTATGCCATTTTTGGGGCTTAAAAATGCTAAAATCTGGAACCACCCTCGCTCCGCCATAGCATTTCCATCTACACTGCCCAAAATGCAAAACTCTGATCAGATCTGCTCACGTCTCGTACGCGTTTACGACATACATCACCACCTAGCATCACCACCTCGCAGATTTCTTTCTAAAAACGCTTGACTAGCCGCGGAATAAAAAGTGAAGACGCGACGCCACTTTTGCATCTTCTGTTCAGATCGTCATCCTATAAACGTAGCTTCAGATCTGTCTTGTTTGGCTTCAGTCGAATTGTTTGCTTGTGATAGGTCCATAGACTGACCAATCATGGGGCAGCATTGTGATAGGTCCCGCGCGAGACTGACCAATCACAGGGCAGCTTTGTGGTTTGGGAGGAAGTGTGCATAAAACGAACCAAAAAAATCATGGACACATTGTTATTACGTTATAAAATGGATTTAAAATTTGTGAACATCATAATGTCGTATAATATATGATCATTGCTCATATTACGTCTGGTAATTTGCAAATTACTGCCCCAATTACTGCATCGCATTCACACGGGATAAGCAAAGTCCGTAAAATACTTTATTATATATTTACCTTATTATTTTACTGACACTGACACAGACATTAAAAAAGAAAAAAAAATGAGGAAAGAAAAGAAAGAGATAGAAAAGGCACGCAGTTACAACAACAAACACTGAGATGCAGATTCTCACGGAACTAGTATTATCACCGGACGTGGAGTAGGTCATTTGCGGTGGAGTTTTTACTGAACAAATTATAGACATGGTGCGTTCACACCAGATTAAGATCTCAGGCATCTTCTGCAATTATTACAAATCACCAAAGGTACAGCAGTAATACTAATCCCGTACGAATAGGGCTTTAGATACAAGATGAACAAATTACTACTATGGATTTAAATCTGGTGTAGCTGATTTTAAAACAGTGAAAGAAGAAAGTGAGTATAAATCTGCCAAACTTTAGTGCCTAGTTCTGACAATCTTTGAAACATCACTAGTACTCACATGCATTGATTTCTTTGGCTTTAGAATAGCTTTTTCAGACAGAAAAGTGAAGGAGGGTGGACCATCAGCTCTCATCCCCAAGTGTCATACAGTGACTCATATGGCTCTTTGTTACAACCTTGTGATTTATAAAATGTCTCGGAATTAGATGAAGGCAGTGCTCGGTTGTTTGATTTTTGTCACGGAGTTCTGAGAAAAGATGGGAAACTGATATTAAAGTCAAGAAAAGTGGAGAATCTGACAATGTTTTTCCCAAGCACAGACATGCACCCTTCTCACCGGCAGCCCCAGCAGCACGCAGACCCTCAAACAACCTCACTTTGCAACACAGCCAAGAATCTCGCCTCAGATCCTCTCAGCGCATGGCAACCAGACAAACAAGCACAACAAAGTGGGGAGGAGAACTTGTTTAGAAAGGCCAGGAATATGTGATCGTAATGTTAAAGATAAATAGAACGAGATGGAGTCATGATACATAATAGATGCACTTTTCCTCCACCTTGTAGTCTACCTGGAGATGTTATTGCATTGCTTGGAATGTTACACAATATGGCATTAAACACACCTATCATGCATTTATTTGTTTTATTGCTAAAAAATACCACAGAAAAACATGCATCTTTTCTGTGAATGGGCTCACCTCCACAGATCTGACTTGTAGATAGATTTAATTTTAAGTTTAAGGCCATATTGATTTTGTGGAATATACTGAGCAAAGCCATCTCCATGGAGATTAGCAGGTGGCGTACCTTCGATCCAAAAAGTTGACTAATGCTCATTTAAAAACAGCTGTTTTTGTCGTTATATGTTATGAAATCATAACTTGACTAATTTGATACTTTGTTTATGGATAAGTTGACAGAAAGTCCATGTTGACAATTTCAAAATCGATATGACAACATTTCTGAGAAAACATAATTTGGGTTGTGGTAAAGCAAATCAGATGCAGGAATTTTTGGTTGTGAGGTAATTTGTCAGCACTGTCTCTAGAGTCATTCTTTGTCTGAATTTTGGAGTTGACTGCATGACTTTTCCACATCTTTAAATAAAACATAAACAGCAACTGTAACTATGCAGATACCAGCTGTTGTCTGTTGTCAGCTGCACAGTGGCTTAGTGGTTAGCACTCTCACCTCATAGCAAGAAGGTGTAGGGTTCAACTCCAAGGGCATCCGGGCATTTCCATGCACATTTTGCATCCTTGTGTCTGGGTGGGTTTTCTCTGGGCACTGTGGTTTCTCTCATCAACCCAAAACATGCACAATCTTCCAGCTAAGGTAGTTCTGACTAAGCCTCACTCAAGATCTGGAGATGGGTCCCTGGGCACTGTCAGTGCTCCTGACAGGAGGGTCAAATGCAGAGGACAAATACCCCCTACAGGGACAGTAAAGTGTACCTTAACTTTCAAAACATTAAAGGAAATGTCAAAATGTTGTAGTAGAAGTAGTCTCAAGTTGTATGTAGTATTGTTAATAACAATATATATTTTTTGGCATAATTAAAGCAGCTTGAATGAAATGACTTGAGGCAATTCCATATATTGTATGCTTTTTATGATTATTTTGTGGTGTATATTGTACACCATTCAGAGTATAAAAACAGCCATTGCACAGAAAACCCCATAAGCAGAATTTTATTGGTCCTGCACCCTGACACAGGAAAAGGTGCTGATGGGGTAAAAAGATCGGACACCACAGGTTTAACCTGAGCTTGTTGTCAGGCATCCACTGAGCTTAGGCGTTCAAAGAGAGCAATGTAGCCAAGTCTGAGCTGTGGCCTTTCAAATCCCACTTGTTTTCAGTTTCTTTGCCAGGAAAAGGCTTTACACGGCTGTGCATGGCTTATCACAAATACAAAATAGTCCACATTACATGCTAATGTTAAGAGCATTTGACAGGTCAGAATACTCATTTCACTAAAATGTAGAATTCGTCCAATTCTGACCATTTTGCCAGTTTTCTTTAAATTTCTTTCTTTAAAATGTAGTGATCTTAAAATATTACACAAATGTAAACTTTTGTGACCTTTAAGCGATGTTATAATGCTTGTACCCCATCAAAAACATACCTGGAGCTGAGTTGTGTTTCATTTATGTTTGAGTAATCTTGCATTATTAGTCTGTTTACATCTCAAGTTCAAAATACTCTGTGGAGCAGTTCCTGTATTACTGCATGGCATCACAAGGTGGAACTGAGTGTTTTTTGTTGTTTTTTTTTGTTTGTTTGTTTGTTTTTTTTTTTTGTTTTTTAGTTTGAGAGAAGAGCTCAGCCTCAGTATATAAGATTGGTCATGTGTGAATGTGTGAAACAAAACACAATTCTAGGTATGTTTTTGCTGAGGATGCAACATTATAATAAAACAGAACAGAAATTAGAAATAAATTAGAATAGAAATTGGTGTAATCTGGGTCCTTTAAAAGATAAAGAAAATGTTTATTGATTACAATTTTTGTCAGTAAATTTTGGACTAAATATTCTTTCATGATGACATAGACAGACAGACTTATGTCCATCTTGAAACCCAACTCTACCTGTAATTTTCAACTTCCCTCAACTCTTGAAAAACTGTAATAAATATTTACCACAGGCACTATCCCAGCAAACAAAGCAATAATGAGAAAAGTATGAACTGCGCTTTAAACCTTTTCATGCATCATCTTTGTAGATATACCTATAAATGTCCTTAGTCATGCCCTAGCTATCAAATCACTCCAGTAGTTTTCTTCTAGGCTCCTCAGACGTGCACATAAAAACCATATTGATTGCTTTGCTTCCTGTTAGAAAAAAATAAAAACAGAAGCAGGAAGAATGCAGCGAACCAAAATATTTTAAAATAATTACCCTGAAAAAAATTTAAAAAGCAAACAGCACAATCCGTCTCCTCCGACTTACTTAGTAGTCCATAAATTAAAATACCGAAATGTTGAACTTAAGGACGTTACGGGTTCAGTAGAGGAGACAGGATGTTTGTTTATGGCGTGCTATATCTTTAAGAGCTCCTGGCCGCAGCCCATCCCAGAAAAGGATGGACCCATTAGTCTGATGAAGACTGAGGAGGAGGAGGAGGAGAGAGAGGGAGACAGAGAGAAAGAGGAGGAGGGAGGAGGAAGAATATGTTTGTGCAGGGTTATTTGGCGCAAAAGAGTCCAGTGGAGTGAAGCCAGCAACACAGAAACAATTTGAGTTTCAAAGTTTGAATTAAAGAAAAGGGACGCGGCAAGGCTACCCCATGACTCCATTTGTTTTTGCTTCATGATGTTATAGGGGCTTGTCAGTCATTCTGGAAGGCACTGGCTCGGCTCATGACTGACTCTGCTTTGTGTGTGTGTGTCCGCAGATGGCAAACCTTGTGACATCCATGTGCTGCGTGGTGCTAGCCGCCGCCGTGGTGGCCTACGCGCAGAGACGCAGTCAGCTCGGTGAGTACCAAAACACTTATAATATAACGGACAGTCACTCACACGCAGTTATTGCTTTTATACGTGTTGACATCTGATGTATGGTATGGTGTATTGTTTGCTTTCTCAAGAGTCAAATGTGTAGCAATAGTTGTAGTAGTAGTAGTAGTAGTAGTAAAAAATATAAATATTAATTGAGGCTATTTATCAATGTCTCCATCGAATTATTTGTCTAATTTTCTGCTTGTTTTGCTTTCTCAAGAGTCAAATGTTTAGTAGTAGTAGTAGAAGTGGTGGTGGTGTTGGTGATAGTAGTAGTAGTAGTTTTATTTTTTTAGTAGTACACATGACTTAATTACTCAAGTACAAGTACCTGAGATGATTTTTCAATTTCTCCATTCAATTATGTGCTGGTTTTCTGCTGGTTTTGCTTTCATGACTGAAATGCGTAGTAGTAGTAGTAGTAGTAGTAGCAGTGGTGGTAGTGGTAGCAGTAGTAGTAGCGGTAGTAGTAGTAGTCGTGGTAGTAGTTGTAGTTGTGGTAGTAGAAGTAGTAGTGGTGGGGTTTTTTGTTGCTTTTTTTTTTTTTTGTAGTAAAAAATGTAAATTCTTGAGGCTATTTTTCCATTTCTCCATTGAATTATCTGCTGGTTTTGCTTTCAAGACTGAAATGCGTAGTATAAATAGTAGTAGTAGTTGTTGTAGTAGTCATAGTAGGATTTTTTGTAGTATAAACTGTAAATTTATGAGGCTATATTTCCATTTCTCCATTGAATTGTCTGCTGGTTTTCTGCTGGTTTTTCTTTCAAGACTGAAATGCTTAGTTGTAGTATTAATAGCAGTCGTAGTAGTAGTAGTAGTTGTTGTTGTTGTTGTTTTTATTTTTTATTATTACTCATTACTTGATTACTGAAGTATTTGAGACTATTTTTCCATTTCTCCATTCAATTATGTGCTGGTTTTCTGCTGGTTTTGCTTTCAAGACAGAAATGCTTAGTAGTAGTATTAGTAGCAGCAGTAGTAGTAAAATGTAAGCCTCTTTCTCCATTGAATTATTGTACATTATTTTCTGCTTTCTCAAGTGTGAAATGTTGAAAAATATACGACAACTACATAAAGTTAGTTTATGGTGACAAACAGTGACACATTTATGGTGAGCTGGTATAATATATGGTAGAAGACTTTATTGTGGTCCATGGAGGGTTGACTTCTGAATTTCTGGTAACACTTTATAGTAATAGCCTTAATAAAGCAATAACAATACATAATTTATACTGAATAAATTGTTTGTTAAAGGTGTAGTATGTAATTTCTAAGGTGGAGAGCTATTATGGAGATGTTATTTCTTTGCATTGAATGTTCCACAGTATGCCATTAAACTTATCTGCCTTGCATGTATTCAATTACAATTTTGATAGCTCAAAGATAACTTGAATAACAGGAATTCTTACTATTTCAAGGTTTCTTTCTCCATAGATGTGACCAGTAGCTTTATTTCTATACTCTATAACATTCAAAGGCAAAGCAATTGCATTTCCATGGAGACATTTATTCAGATACAAGTGTTTTTTATAGTTAAAAAATACCTAGAAAAACTGGTATTCTGACTATGAGCGGGGTTGCCTCTCCATAGCTCTGACTTGTAACTTGGTCTGGTTTGGTCTCCATGAATTTAGAAAGGTTTAATACTGTGAAATATTCAAGACAAAGCAGTAACATCTACATGGAAAAAAAAAAGCATATGATGGACATAGTGCACCTTTAAACGGGCAGTTCGGAATTTTGGAAATAAAGCCTCATTTCCTAGTGAGCTGCAGTGTTGGAGACGTGTGGAGACACTTTTTTTTACATATTCCATCCAGTCCTTGTATTTGCAGAGGTCACTGGTGCTAGGCTAGTGCATGTCAATGGCCATAGTTAGCCTGCCACTAAAAAAAGTCTTGCCCACTCCACAAAACACCTGAAGCAAAATTATTACACCAGACTGTCGAAGTGAATGTCTGTGTCGATAGAATAATTTTAGAAGTAAAACCAACCTTGCATTTGAAGGATTTATGTTTCAGCAGCAGCATCGAGTTGTACTTCTTGATAGAAAGCTTGGCAGCGGTGGACTGATGTATGAGAAAATAGTCCCTCAACATGCAATGATTCATGCGATACAAGGTTGGTTTTATTTCAGACATTATTCTATCGACACAGACATTTACATTGATAGTCTGGTGTAATAGGTTTTCTTCGGGTGTTTGTGGAGACTGTTTTTAGTGGCAGGCTAACTATGGCCATTGACATGCACTAGCCTAGCACCAGTGACCTCTGCAAATACAAGGACTGGATGGAATATTTAAAAAAGTGTCTCCACACGTCTTCAACACTCTGGCTCACTAGGAAATGAGCTCCTATGTCCAAAATTCCATACTGTCTCTTTAAATATGAATGAAGTCTTTATTCTTGCTTTATCAAGGCTAATTTACATGTAGTGTTTATTTTTCAATGGTATATGACAAGTACAGACATTATTGGAGTCTCTGGAACAGTTTGTGATTTCTGACAGTGTCTGACACATAGCCGTTGCCCTTTTTGCCAGATTTTCTCAGCTTTCTCTGACTCTCTCAAATGGATGATTCACAACAGTTTATAGGCATGTCATGATACTTCAGTGTTGTTTACTGTGAGAAGAGCGTTGCCATGTTTGCTGCCATCCGTGCACTGCAGTTTCTACAATGTGGGACAACAGTGTTTTCTTTTTGTGGCTTCTGTTAAAGGTGCATTGTGTCACTTTTCTGGAGCAGGTCCATCAAATGGTCGTCACCATGGAGATGTTATTGTTTTGTCTGGAATGTTTCACAGTATCAGTAGTGGTATCTAACCTTCCTATCTTCGTGGAGACCAAACCAAACCAAGTTACAAATCAGATCCATGGACCTGTTGCAACCCCACTCAGTCAAAATGTTTCTTTTTTTTTTTTTTTTTCTGGGTATTCTAAGCTATAAAACCACCTGTAATTGAAGAAATGTAAGGTAGAGCTGTATAATGTCATATTGTGGAATATTCCAGGCAGTGCAATGAGATTTACATAGACAAAAGCAGGTGGCGGACTCTCAGGAAGAAGTTACACGATGCATCTTAAAAAAATCAAACAAAAAACAAAAAACGGACACATTGAGTTTAGCCTGCTTTTGACCTGCATTTTAGGTTTTATGGCTTTAACTGTGGTTATTTTAAAAGAGAAGCAATAGTCTTTCATTGTGAATACGGCACAATTAAAGGTTGTGTATTGAGAAGGAACAAAAGACAAACAATATCTGCTTTCTAGCCAACTTACTCTGAAATTTTACTAAGCCATGCCTGGACTGTAGTATAAATAATAGAGAATGACTTGACAGCTGAGTAAACAAACTTAATAGCTGCCTAACCTATAAAATGTTAATAAACCTTTGATTTTGAGCTTGCATAGTTATTCTTAAAGGTGCACTGTGTAACTTTTACTGTTGCCATGGAGATGTTACTGTTTTGTCTGGAATACCCCGATGTGGCCTTAAACATATCCATCTTGCATTTAGTCATTAACATGTGTCTTTTTTGAGCTAAAAACTTGTATTCTTACTGTGAGTGGGCTCGGCTCTCCGCAGATCTGACTTGTAACTTGGCCATGTGGTGTCACTTGCTGCCTTTGTAGAGATGAATACGTGTACAATTGTCTCTCACTACTATCTCACTACTTGACCTTTTGTGGCCTTGCTGTTTTGCGGATTTTTTTTGTGTGGAATTTTGCTTGCTTTTTTTTACAGTGTATGAACGTGCATTGTGTTCCTCCCGCCGTGTCCTGATTGGCCAAGAGACTGTAGACCATTGTCAATCAATCTCCTCCATGCCGAGTCTCCTGTACAGTATAGAATGCAAACAGCTTGCCAAATTTACATAAATGTTGGATCTCTAACAGTGTGATTCTGAAGTGCTGTGTGTTTGCAAGTTTTCTCCCCGACAAAACCCACAATGTTGACGAAACGTTCTGCACTGACAAAGGCTCCCATGGTCACCCCAAAAGGCAGAGGAAGATGCAAACCATCATACAAAAAGTTGGACTTCTGGACATGCTGAAGGAAGGTAGAAGTTACGCTGTAGGGCCATTACGGAATAAATTAATCTTTGACTTGTTACATAAAGAAAGAAGAAACTAACATAAGGACGACAGCAGCTTTAAGTTTTAAGAAGGATGCGAAAAGTGTTGTAACTCTCCTGTCTGCAAAAAGTTTATGGTGAGGGGTTTTACAGACTTAAAACATATATATATATATATATATATATATATATATATATATATATATATATATATATATATATATATATATATATATATATATATATATATATATATATATATATATACTATCTGCCTCACATGTATTCAATTACAGGTTTTATAGCTCAAAGATACCCCGAATAACACAAATTCTTACACAAAAACTTTATTTCTATACTCTATAACATTCAAGGCAAAGCAATTGCATTTCCATGGAGACATTTATTCAGTTACAGATGGTTTTATAGTTAAATAAATACTATGAGCGGGGTTGCCTCTCCATAGCTCTGACCTGTAACTTGGTCTGGTTTGGTCTCCATGAAGATAGAAAGGTTTAATATTACACTGTGAAACATTCAAGACAAAGCAATAACATCTACATTAAGTTTTAAGAAGGATGCGAAAAGTGTTGTAACTGTCCTGTTCTGAGAAAAGTGAATAAAGTTTGTGGTGAGGGGATTTTACAGACTTAAAACATATATAATAATTGGAAAAAATAAAGATGACTACTTTGCAGATTTCGCCTAGTGAGGGTTATTTTTAGAACGTAACCACCACGATAAACCAGGGACCACTGTAATGCCATACTGTGGAGCATTCCAGGCAATATCTCCATGGAGAGAAGCAGGTGATGGACCCCCCATAAGAAAAGTTACAGTGCACCTTAAACAGTTGTATGTGTAAGATGTTTTTACTCATACGTGGTTCATATGGTAAAAAT